TGCAGTGGTAGAAGGAGTTACCTTATAAAACAAACAATGCATAGAAGATGAAACCTCTTTCTAAGATCAGATGTGGTCAAAAAACGAGATCAGGCTGCAGATTTTTAAAGAATCCTTACATGTAACTGGTATCTGACCAAATATTCACAGTTTACGATGAGAAAACGTGCAATGCACCTCTAGAAACAAAGTTCCCAAATGCATTGGAGTGCAAAGGATAGGGTTTGTGCCAACAGCCGTGAAGAAATTTTAAAATATGTCTGCTGTATGCCAAAGAAGGGAGGCTCAGAGTTTTTGTAACTCTTTTTTTTCTTGGGGGGTGGGTAGGCTGTCAGTTACGGGTATGCTTGAACCACAAGGGGTTTTTAACATACTGTTGATAATTGTGGTTTTTTTAAATACTGGATGGAATTGTCACATAATCATTTTCAGGCTTTGTAAATACAGAAAGTGAAATCTTGTAGGATTATTTGATTTTAAGCAGGCTAGTTATTTTTTTGTCAGAGAAACACTTGAAATTCCGTGAAGAGCTAACCGCTCATTTAAAAAAATGCTTCTGAATCTCAGTATTAAGAGAAAAAAAAAACATATATGATCTTTTCATCTCACCTTTTCTAAACATACATGCTAAACTTCTTTCTAATTAAAGTTATCTCTGTTTTATAAGAGTTTAAACAGCGTCTCTGTTTACAGAGTGAGATGTGATCAGTGTTGGTGTCTTGGTTGGTCTCTAGAGTGGCCACCAGCAGCCAAATAAGCATTCCAGGAGCAGGAAATAGGCTGAGTGCTTATGGCTAGCTTTGGACAAACTGGGCCTGCTCTGATGTGTGCTGGGCATGGAGCAGTGCCGGCAGGGAGGGAGGAAGTGTCTGGTTTAGCCCTTGCTTTCACACCTGTTTGCTGGCTTGGTTTCAGACAGAGATGCTGAAGCAGGATGTTTTCAAGGATGCTTTTGGGTGAATCAGCAGGTCTTTGCAGAAGTTGTTTGAATACTTAATTGCACTTAGTACTGAAAGTGGGTGGCTTGCTTCTGGTCTGGATTTCCAGCTTAATTTCTGCCTAGCTTTTGTTTCCCACCATCAGATCTCGTTTGCTTCTTTCTGACAAATCTGTTGTCAGAAATCTTTTCTCAGCAGTTTTTCTAGATCAAATTAGAAGTCCACTCCCTGGTAGATGAGTGTAACTGATTGAGCTTCTTACCATGAGACAGGTCCCCCAGGCTTCCATCAGCCCACATGCCCCTTTCTGAGCCCTCTTTCATTTTGGGAGTGCATAGTGGACAGCTGCATGTGGCATTACACCAGCCTTTTGCCTTTATCGCAGGGTCGGGGTAGTAGCTTCTTCCTCCTACACAGTATTGCTCTTCACTAGCATTACCCTCTTTAGTGTTAGCTTGAGAGAGCAGGCTGCAGTGGGATGTCAGTGTTATCTCAGTGTCATCCTTTTCCTGTGCTCCTGGGCACAGCCTGGCTGTCTTGAGCATCCAGGTCTGTGGTGTTTAATGCCTAGCGTTTGTTTGATTTGGTGTTGCACAGCTCTTGGAGCGGCCTGGGTGCTCTGACATCCTCAGCACCAGGCACTGAAACCAGGTTTTCTGGTTCTCAGCATTCACTACCTTCACCTGTTCAGAAGCATGCTAGCAAGCATCCCGATGGGAAGTAAGTGTATTGTTTGAAAATCTGGTCTGTAAAGGCTGTGCTGTGAGACAGGAGCTTTTGAAAATCAGACCTTGAATGTACAGGTGGCTTAACTGATCTCAGTGCAAATGCTGGTGACCTTTTTTCCTGTTCAATAAATTAAAGGTTAAATTTGCATAATTTATTGGGCAGCTATTTAGATTGTCACTTCTTTCCGCTCACATTTGTACAGACTTAAGTTCAGTTAAAAAAAAATAAATCTGTAAGAGGTGGAGAATGATGACAAATGTGCTGGAGCTCTTCCCCGGAATATTCAGTCTTCCTGTGGTAAACCCTGCTGTGTCCTGCAGAGGCAGTGATGGAGGGCACAGACAGAGGGGAATTCTCTTCACATGAAGTCTGATTAAACTGTGAAACTCGTTGCCACACCATACTGTGAAGGTTAAATCTCATGCAAGTTTTTTGGGGAAAAAAATAAAAACAGAGTAATGGAAGAAAAACCCAGCAAGGTTAGTTAAACTGCTTGTGATGGGTTTGCCCTTGGCTGGGGGCCAACCCACACACTTCTTCACTCACTCTCCCCCCACCCAAGGATAGGGGAGAGAATTAAAGGGGTAAAGGGAAAAAAGGACTCGTGGGTTGAGATAAGGACAATTTAATAACTAAACTAAAATAATATTGAAAATAATACTATATACAAATATACAAATGAGTGATACACGGTGATACTGCCCCCCCCCTCCCAAATGACTAAGGCTCAGCCTGTTCCCAGCTAATGATCCCGGAGCAGGGAGAGTCCCAAAACCACACTCACAGAACAGAGATAACAGTCCGAGCGTCCCAGACCGAGAGCTGATGGGGGGGAGAGAAGGCCTTGGGAGAGTGCCCACCTGGAGCAAGATGACCCAGAGCAAAAGAGATCCGGAACCAAAAGGGACAATCTTCCGGAGAGTCCTCACCTATATACTGGGCATGACGTGTATGTTATGGATTAGATTATTGGCCCCTCTGGGTCTCAGTCCTGGGCTCATAACTGGGGCTGTGCTCCCTCCCAGCTTCTCCAGTCTGCTGACAGCCAGAGAGGCTGAAAGATCTTGGCAGCCGCATAAGCATCACTTTTTATCAGCTTTCTTCTGAGCACAAATCCAAAACACAACCTCTTGCTAGCTATTATGAAGAAAGTTAACTCTGTCTCAGCTTAACCCAGGACACTGCTCTTGCCTGGGGGTGCTTGGTGAACCCCTGCCAGGAAACGGAAGCCTGGAAGGGATGGCCTTTTCGCGGTCTGATGCTCTTAAATTTCTTCCTGCTTTGAAACAGAATTTTCTTTTCATTTTCTAAATGGAATTAAAATGTACCATACTTAACTGCAGCTTCAGGAAAGATAAAGATTAAAATAATTTGGTGTGTGAGAGATTAAAAGGCAAAGATATTTAGAAATACTTCTGAGCATTACAGAAATGTTTTCACTCAGTTCGAGCTTTGGGTAATTTTTTTTTTGGCATTTGCTTACACTGACTATAGCCTTTCTGGCAGGCAGCACTGCACCCCAGCACAAACCACCTTACCGTTGAAGATGGGTTGTTATAATTAAGAGTTTTAAAAGAAATAAGACTTCTCTGCTTTTCTAACAGTATTAGAGACTAAATTGTCTGAAATTGTAGGAATAACCACTGAAAATGTTAAGACTTTCTATTTTTGTAATTTTTGTGGCTTGTCAGAAAGCTTTTTTGTTCCTGTTTGGTTGTTACAATACTTCAGTAACAAAGTTTACAACTTTACGAAATGTAAAGTTTTAATTATTTATGAAACAAATCTGAAAATGTGGGGAGGAATGATAATTTGGACTGCCTATGACATCTAAATTGGATTTTTTTTTTTGGTTGCTTGTAGGTGGTTGTTGTTTTGAGCTAAGCAAGGCCTTTCCTTTTATCCAGTGAGTAACTTACAAAGTCCATTGTGCAATTTGTACAAACAGCAGCCAAAATCATTCATGCCTATTGCAGAGAACATATAGAGATATCTCAAATACAGCCAAATCCAAAGGCTTTCTGTTCATTCTGGGGGTTTTCATTTGTTTTGCTTTTGGGGTAAATATCTATGGTAAAATTGGAGGAAACATTTGGATTTTCATTTCAGTATTTCTTAAAATTTGAGGATGTATTTCCTTGAGAGTAACGTGTATTTCTAACTGATGATTTTTTTTTTTTAATGTAATAAGTTAACATACGTGTGTTTATATTTCAGCTTGTTTTGGGGAAGGTGGTCAAATAAATATTGGTGATTGTTACTCAGTCTGACCTTCAGATTAAAGTTTGCTTTTGTTGAAGACACTGGAAAATTATTGGTGTGTGGGAGGGTCCTGAGTTTCTCCCTACCTGTATTAGTCTATCTACTAAAATGTATTGCCTCTGTAAGTGAACTATGGTACTTGTAGTCAAACGCATTTTTTTAAAAATCCTATGCAACTATGTCTGCAGTCTCTGTTTGTCAGAATTTTTAAACTAACTTTGCAATTGTCAAACTAAATGTGATCAGGGAAATGAAACTAATTATATAATAAAATATTTAGGGACAATATAGTTTTTAAGTCACTGTTGTATCCTTAGCACAGAAGTGTTACTCTAGTTAACGTAGGGGTTGTGAGATGTTACTGTGTAGTGAAGGAACTGTTGCTCACTCTGCTTGAATTACCCCAAATGCAAATTTTTCCACTACCAGTGTAATATATATTGCCTAGTTATCTGGCAGGAATG